TTTGTACGATTAGATGCGTTTTTAAGAAATACTCTATCTATAATTTATTGATCTATACTAGATAAGCGTTTTTAAACATCAAATACCAGTTCCTACGTAAGAAGGTACTATTTAGAAAGACAAATTGTAAAGTTATTCCATACAAAAATCCAGTCGGTGGGTAACATACTATTTCAGCCACCTATTTGGAAAAATGGGTTTTGATTGAAATATAAGCTATAATTATGTATAATATCTATAATAATTCACTTAATGGGCATAATAATTAAATTATAATATTAAAATATATATTCAGTATCTCTTTAAATATTAAAAAAAAAAATATGTTATTCACATAATCATAATTTCAGTTATATTGGAAAAATAACGATATTTTTACTACTACAATACCGGAGCTAAGGTCCCAGTAGACAGACAGTGCAAAAGGGCAAAAGCCTTGGCTCAACGGGCCAAGTTCACTCACCTCACCTCGGCCAGAACAAGAAAGAATGCTGTGACCAATCACTTTCTACGTACACAACATCACTGCATCACATCAGCCACTGTTCAGCAACAATTAAACACGTATTGTATTGTTTAAACACAGTTTTCGTAGAGCAAAACATCGATTATTGTTGTTAAATAAAATCGGACCGAATGGAAAACACACCAAGTGAGTACGAAGGCTCGCGGCAACTCGCAAACCAGTTTTCCCTCTCTCTCGCACTTAAGTTTTATTCGGTGTTGCCGCGTAATGATTTTCATTTCCTTAATGGCTGTTGATATAAATATGAGAAACGATGTTATTATAATAGAGAAGTACTCTATGATGATGTGGATCACTGTTCATTTGACACAGAAATATAGACAAATATATTTAGTTATGTCAATATTAATTAACTAGTCTTAATCCGCGAATTTGCTCTCATCAATTAGATTCAGAAGTATTCTATGTATAGGTGGCGTGGCTTATTTATGTACTAAATTTCATTAAAATATATTTAGCAATTTAAAAATAATTGACTAACGAACATGAAAATGTTTTTACAAACTTTTAACTTAGTTTAATTAGCTATATCAAAAAATTCAAGTTTCCTATACCTTTGAATAAAACAGTTGGGTATCTCTTCTTGATTATAAGTATTAAATACTAGTTTAGACCCGCGACTTTGTCCACGTAACCGGGATATGTTTACTGACCGGAATAAAAAGTAGCCTGCATCGTGCCATATAGTACGTGTATACTTAAATTTATAGTGATTAGTCAAGCCGTTATAACACTATAAGGTAACAAACAAATAAACAAACTCACTTTCATATTTCTAATATAAATAAGGGTTATAGTTGTCTAATTTTGCCCATAAACAAAGAATAAGAAAGACGTATTTGTAATGCGCGAAAATAAATTTATTGAATGTACCTACATATATATATATCGTTCTGTTTATTATAATAAATTATTATTCCGTATACCTCGGTAATATAATATTTAGATACGTACTATTGCTTTAGCTATTGTTGTAAGTAAGTATCGAATATCGCGTAAATCACAGCGTAAAATAAATTATGTAAAAAAAATGTACAGCGTAAAAAAACTTTAAAACTAGAACAAATCCCTCTCTTCAAAGTGATTTTGATCTGCATTATAGCAGTACATAGTTACTCGACAATCTAAAAAAAAACATATATTCTGACCAGCTACTTCTAACAAATTAAGTTTATTTTACGAATATGTTTTGATAAATTTTATTTATATTTTAGAATATAAAAAGATGTTAAACTTCAATGTTTGCCCATAAACAAAGAATACAATATCTGCCTAATTCTTGGGTAATTTTAAAACGAAGCAATATTAGGCGGATATAACCTCAAAAGGCTCTTCATGTTCAAGAATCAAGAAAGACGTATTTGTAATGCGCGAAAATAAATTTATTGAATGTACCTACATATATATATATCGTTCTGTTTATTATAATAAATTATTATTCCGTATACCTCGGTAATATAATATTTAGATACGTACTATTGCTTTAGCTATTGTTGTAAGTAAGCATACAATTTGCTACAACACTATTCCGCGGAAATTTTGCACTCCTGCTGTGACCCGCTGCCTTTATATAGTGGCGAATATCGCGTAAATCACAGCGTAAAATAAATTATGTAAAAAAAATGTACAGCGTAAAAAAACTTTAAAACTAGGTTTTTTAACAAATCCCTTAAACTAGCTTCAAAGTAGTTTGATTCAAACTAAGATTGTATTTCCGTTCGCATCAAACCGCTCTACTTAACATTCTTGATAACAAACGTTGATTCTCTTATTAGCTTTTTTTTTTTTAGAGCCACCATTTCTTTCACTTCGCCATCCCACCATACATATATCTTAACATCCTTCTTTATTGCACTAAAACTTGAGTAGCTATATCAAAGATTCCGTTTAAAATTTTCGAGTTCTTCTGTCAACATTTCTGACATACGAACACGTGGACGATGTCGCCATTTATTGAATAAGCCACCTATTCTCGATATCACCAAAAAGTGATCATTCCGACATTCGTACCACGATAGACTCTTGTATCCTTCACTTTCGCTCTCAATCGTTCATCCACAATTACAAAATCAATCATACTTCTCTCAGTTTGCCTTTGCCATGTATACATATGAATCTTTCTCTCCAGGCATACTTCTAATAAACTTTCACCATTTTCATTCACTCTTTTATCTCCAAACATCATTCCATCGGCATTCCCAGCCATTAAAATCACCTATCAAAATAATTCTTTCATTCTCCTTACATTTAGTCATAATCTCCCTTACACTATCCCAGAGACCTTTGGACATATCCGCATAAGCGCAAAGGAGATAAATACGGGTCAAACCAACTTTCAATCGTATCCAGAGGAGTCTAGGACTTACAAATTCAAATTCTTTAACAGATGCATTCATTCTCTCTGACAAAATAACTCCCACAACTTCTTTCAATATTATATTATATCGGTCATAAGTAGTAATAGAGCAGCCTTTCTTTTTTGTTTCACTTACTCCTAACTCATCATCTCACATACTTCGTCTATTTTACTATCCATACCTACAAACATTCATCGTTGCAATTTGGCATTCCTTTGCCCTCTTTTTGCCATTTGGGGAAACAGGGGAGACATGATGTTTTCAGGGACGGATTCTCCGGCACAGTTGCGTTTTAATTTCTCTTATCATTTTGAAAAAGAACTGCTCTTCTTAACATCGGATAGGGAAAGGAAATAGGTTACATTGGGAGAGGAATAGGTTATAAGGAAAGGAGGTGATAAGTGGAAAGGAACTATAGGAAAAATGGGGGATACTACAGCTACGGAGAGGACATAGGATTTGTAACTGTAGTAGCTATGGAGGCCGGGGTTGCGTACCCTTTATTGCACTAAAGTAAAATTAGTAACATTATGAGCAAAGGTGAACTTATCTCTAAAAGAGGTCTCTTTCAGTCAACCTAACACATTGGCATAGGAAATAATGAGTGGACAGCAGTATTGCCAAACAGAAAACTAAACAACAATAATATTTACATAATTTACAAATAATTTAATGTTTTTACACAATAATGGTGTCACCGAACAAGCATACGACTTGTCTGATGGAAAACGGTTTGTTTATTATGTAATGTAAAACATTCTGTATAGTTACGAGAGATGTGACAGTGACATTATGGTGTACAGAGACGTAACACCATAGTCATCAGGAATGCAATTTATGAAGGGTACCATGGGTATCACAGTATATTCAGTGACGTCAACATTGCTGTACATGTCTGTAGGTGACAGTCACCACTTTCCATTAGGTGGGCCGTCAGATTTTTTGCACATTCTAAATAAGTACCGTAATAAAAGTTCATGCCTGCAACTCGGTATTACTGTTAGACTGAGCATTAATAGGTATTGATAGATTTAATTAACCGCCTTACCGCTAACAAACTTTTATGTCCAAAGAACATTAGAGTGCGAATTTGTGATCTCGGTACGAATATGTACCGTTTTTTACGGTTCCAAGAACAGTTTAATTACAATTGTGCTAATTGTTATTGATTAGAACTGACCATGAAACGGTTTTAAACTAGCGTTAAGAATTTAGCATATACCTACATAATATTCATATATCTGCTTTATTACGCTTGATATCTGTATTTTATAAATAATATTTAACGGACAACCAAATATGTTTAATGTACATAGAATGGGAATCTTTTGATGATGAGTAATATCGTGTTTATTTGCATTTGCTATAAAATTTGTTGCTATTGATGTTCCCTTTATGTTAAACATATCATTTGCTTTGTCTCGACAAAAAATAAATAGGAATAAAAAAGAAATTAAATTAAACTAATTCATACATTAATTACTTAACAATTTAATAACATAATCCTCGATTCCTATTTTGGGTTATAACTACACTTCCCACTTATTTATGACAAATTTTTAATCTATTTTAAAATATTTTTTTTTATGCAACTTAGAACGGCAAACAAGTTGACGGCCCACCTAATGGAAAATGATAATCGTTACCTATAGACATGAGCAGTACCATGGACATAACGGAATATACTGTTTCGTCCATGATACAATGCGTTGCCATTTCTGAGTACTCAGGTGTTATTCCTCTGTACTCAGTAAATTCACTGCCATATCAACCGTATGTCTTTCAAACCGAAACACAATCATGCAAACACAATTGCTTAACGGTAAAAATATTGTTTTTATTAGGTACACGATATTTTTGGAAACTCTGCAATAAATTTGATACTTTTAATTTCTATCTTTAGAATCTACATTCTTCCAATTTAGTCCAATACAAATGTGTAAACAAATAAACCACTGAACAATTTACACTATTTAGACTATTAACATTTAAAACTTAGTAAATCCATAAGATTGAATTCTCATGGTAAATCTTAAGTTTTATTACTAAATATTAGAGTGTACCATAGTCAAAACTTTTACATTAAGTAACATAGAGAATAATTATTAATTACTCACATAATTTCGTTTCGCTGCGTCTCTTCACTCGTAGCTTGATCACGCATGACGAGATACACTGAAACAACGCAATATTGCAAATAATTACTAAAATGTTAAGCAATAGCCTATTGTGTATCCAAACCAGCAAGTCTTGTAGTTTACCATGCTGTCACGGTGTTAAACGTAATTGGACATTTTGGCCTCTCTAATTGCTAAATTAATAGTATTTAACAAATATTCGAAACTTGAAACAGACTATTCTCTATTATTATATTACAGTATTTTTTTATAATATAACTAATGATCCTCCTAAAAAAATATGAGCAAAAATTTTTTAATTTGGTTGAGTAGTTTATAAATTTATCCGTTCATCATCGTCATCACCATATCTACAACATTTTATCCGTTCACTACTGAATATAAAACTCCCCTATAGACTGTCATAAGGATCGGTCCTGAACACCTGCATCTACTCTCTCCCTGCAATGCATTTGAGGTCGTCACTCTGTTTGGTGGGCGTCGTCTTGCACTGTGTTTACCCAAACAAGGTCGCTACTCAAAAATTTTTCTTCACCCTCGGTTGTCGGTTCTTCGAGCTATATGATTAACCCTTACCTCAACCATTACCACTTCATCTTGCTTATCCTTCGAGCTATGTCGAATCCTTTAGTTATTCTGCGAATATCCTCATTTCGGATTCTATCACGCAAAAAATTTCGAGTATAGCCCTCTCCACAGCTTGCTGAGTAACTTGCATACGGACAAGCATGTAAGACCATGTTTCAGTTCCGTAGGTCATCACTGGCAACACGCTAGTGAAAGAATCTCGTCTTCAAACTTGAAGGTATTTTGGATAAGTGGTTTGGTAAGATGAACTGGTCATATCAATCGTAGAACCGATAACCCTTGAAGTAGACGTATTCTGGAGTGAACCGCAAATTGGTAAGCATGGTATGGGACTATTTGCGCCTAAGTGGAACGATGACATATGCAGAGTCGCGGATAATAACAGGCAGTGAAGAACCGAAGATTATGTTCAGTGGTGTATCTTGGGAGAGGATTACGTTCAGAAGTAAACCGTAAACCGTAACTGCAGTAGGCTGAGTGTGATGATGATGATGATGATACTATTAATGTATACATTTTATTATAGGAACTTATTAGAAATCTATAGTATACCTATACTGAGAAGCTCTTTTTATACCATGGAGGTGGCAAATAATCATATATCCTGTCTGTTGATAAACAATCACTGTAGCCTGTGGACGAATGCAACACCAGGAATGTCACGAGCGCGTTTCAAAAGACTATAGTCTAATCTCTACGGAATACCTCGGTGGCAACTTATTCTATAGCCTGATCATTGGCGGGAGGAAACTGCTTTGAAACCGCACTGTACGCAACTTTAGGTTAACTTTAGGTTCTAGCGTGTAAGAATGAATTCCCTATTCCTATGGTGAGGGAAGCGATGATAAAACGTAGCCACGTTTTATCATCGCTTCCCTCCCTTGATAAAACGTGGCTATGGGCATCATTTGTAGACTTTGTTGACTGTAAATAGATTACCAAGTAATTCAATACTTGATTATTTAAGGTGAGTGTATTAAATGTTAGGTTTGTATAATGATTTTATATCATTTGATTTTCCACTGAAGCCTTACGAAAATTTTCGATCAGAAATCGGATGTAAAGATATTTTATTTCATGAAAGCTGAAACCTGTTGGTCGAAAAAGGACCGGGATGTGCTCGAGTTCAGGAAATGGCCTAAATTGTCGGAACGAGTAAACGACTTAGCGAGTTTAAAGGTTTTATTAAAATAAAATCACAGGAGAATATTTAAGTTAATTTGATATCTATAATATATTTATAGAATTAAATAATTTGAAAATAAAATCGACGAAATTGAATAATATTCAATGAATTAATACGAAATTATTTTTAATTTAGACATTTGTTTAGTTTTTACACGCATATTTCGATATAAATAAATAAGTAAAATACAAACAGTTTACACTTACCTATATATCTACATTACGTGCGAATACTTGCAATTTCGTCGTGTATTACCTACATTCGTGTATGGACATTGGTTCAAAATAATCAAATCTAATGTATTACAAGAATACAACATATTCATTTAACACTTTTAACATATTTATTTAACACTTTATTGCATCAATATTACAAGACTTGTTAAAGAATTTTTAAATAAATATAGTGTAGTACAAAAGGCGTTCTTATTGCAAAGCAATCCCTTCCAGACAAACAGATTCGGAACACATTTTAAAATCCATTCTGACTGAAGTAGTTATATGTATGTCTTTCCAAATTCTCGTTTGAAAGGCACTAAATCTAATCCAATACATAGGAGGTGTCATACCTATGGTATCTATGGTCTTACTATAAAAAAGGCAAACTTATGATAGACTTATGTTCAATCTATACGACATAGACTGAACACCTTAATTAAAACCTCTAACGACCTACTACAAAAGCGTATTACATCTGTTTATGTCTAAACAAAAGTGAGTCAGTATTATTAAAAGTAAAAGGTGTTTAAAGTAATTAATTTTATTATAATAATCTGTAGGATTTGGCACATATGAATTGGCACAAATTAATTATAAATATTTATTATACTAACTAAATAATATTTAATCACTTAAACAGAGAATTGGTAAACGCTGTTTAGATAAACAGTGCTTTAAATATTTTTGTAATAAGACAGCTAGATTATAAGGGATAGCGCGGTTTCAAAGATGTTTTTCCCCACCAACGCTCAGTTTAAAGAATCAACTCTATGCTAAGATTTTCCCTAAAGAGTAAAGCTTTGTTCCTTTTTTCAAAGAGAAACAAAGAGATTTGTCTAAAGCCCGCAACGCGTGCGCATTGCTGTAAGTATTGCAAATGTTTATAGGTAATATTTATTAACCGCTAATCATCAGGTCGTAAACTTGTTTGTCACGTATAAAAAAAGTTATAAACGTTGTCTTACCTCGTGTATATGCCCCAAGACTTCAGCTCTTGTCATATCTTCTAGCCTGGTCTCATTGACATCCATTATCTCGTCAGCCAATTCCAAATTATCCCAGTTACCAGCTGATGGTGAACCTGAACATCAAAAAAGAAATATTAAAAACAAAATATATGAGATATTATAAGCCCCTGACGCTCAGCTAGTTTCACTGTATTTCTCGATAAAAAAAAAACTTTCGTTTGATACATTATGAGAATTGGAAGCGTACATTCTGGATGTGTGAATTTCAAAACAAACCACTAGCATGTAGGGTTTTTTTTGCAACTTAGAATGGCAAACAAGCTGACGGCCCACCTGATGAAAAATGGTAACCATCGCCAATAGACATGAGTGGGCCCCATGCGTTGCCATTCCTGAGGACTTAGGTGTTATTCCTCTATACCCTGGAAATTCACTGCCATATCCCACCCTTTAAACCGAAACACAGCCATGCAAACACAACTACCTCACGGTTGAAATACGAATGGGACAGAGGTACTCAAGCAAACGACTTTTGTACAAAGTCTCCCTTTTGTGTTAAAGATTTGGAATGTTTGTTGATGGACTTGTTGCTTAAACGATTAATCTACTCCATTCGAAATTAGGCAGTATTGTATCCACCATAACAACATGGCATAGGTTTCACTCCTTAAAAGTATATATCACCCATATATAACACTATTCAGTACTATTTCCACGATGGTTAAATAACCTAATTTTTTTTCGAGTTTTCTATACAGTTTTCATGATTTGTTCTCCAGTCAACTTTTACAATCAGGGCCTAATCTACAGAGGAACAAGCCGGGGAAATAGCCAAAGTGGAATAGTAGCTAGATTCGGACACTGTTTACCACATCTTCAGGATAAGAAATAATAGTGAGGCGACTGCCAGACGCGTCATATTCTTACTTCATCACCACACGTACAAAAGTATGTGAATATGTTTTTACCGACTCATATTTCCATATTAGTGCATTTAACAACGTATTTATGCCGTAGAAGGAAACATAATAGTTGGGGAGCGGGGCATCATTCCTTTTAAAGCATCACCAAAACCTAACTGCAGTTGCCAACCCGCCTGCTAAGCGTAGCAACTGCTGACAATACCCCCTTTATGGAGGAGGCCTATGTTCAGTAGTGGACAGTTAACATTGGCAAATCAAATTAATAACAATATTTTACAATACACATTGAATAAAACAAAAAATTGTAAGTTGACCTAGTAGGCAATTTGTTTTAATTTACTTTGTTAAGCTCCGTTCTACAGTCTTCTCTGGAAACCATATAGTTTATTTTCTGGTAAAATTCATCACCATAATTGAACAGTCCCCGACTTCATCTTTACATATATACATCTTATTCCATTATAATCATCATAAAAATAACAAGTCAAAATCCAGCAACAATGTTTGTGAATTTGATCAACTTTCTCAAAATAATAGGATCGAAATGTGAAAATAATTTTCATTTTCATACAAACCACTGCGCCCTGTGATCATTCATTGGTCTCAATACGTCGAGAGTTGTTCAATTTAATGAGTACTATCACACGGAAAATAAAAAATACATAAATATTAAATTGTGGATTAATGAATAATTCATATTGAGAGTATTAGTGAGTAGGGTATTTATTTATAGAAATCAGAGTAGGTGTATTCTTTTGCGGCAATACATTTTCCTTTTTAAACCAAATAATGTATATAACACATCTTACTCGCCAAAAACTAAAAACTCTTTTATAACAATATTTTCTTGGGAACAATAAATTGCAATCATGATATTTATGTCATGTTGAATACCGAGACTGTACCATTGGGATACGACATTTTCACGACATACCTACTCCTAATATTTATTCGTATTTTTTATGAAAATATCTTTATTTTTCCATTTTACTCGCATAAGTCAAGTGAAATGCTATCTATGATGCGAAAAATACGAGTACATTACAATAAAATTTGAAAACAGCAATAAACATCTGTTGAATTATAGTTTTAAATATTAACTAAACAATTCTACGAATAGAATAGAATGCATTGTGTTTAATTCGTATCATTTTTGTTAACGATATATTGCTACTATTAGAAGATAGAAATTAGGTGTCCATTCCATATTGTACCTATTACAAATAAAGGTAACATTACCTAATTATTATTTCTGCATATCGTAAGCCACAATAAAATCCAATAAAATTTATATTTTGTAACTAGTTTCAAGCATAACAGATGAACTACACAGTTTCGTTATATAAATTAATGTCATTAAATTAATTTTGACAGCTAGCCTTAGCTCTCTTTAGTCAAAACGCGACACGATTGCATGTAAATTGTACGAGTACCCACAATACCTATTTTTATTGCTGGCGTTTTGAAAATTATTTCGATTAATAATAGTAATTATAATTGATTGATTGAATACCTGCATTACTTAGGTTTACAAGTAAACTATACATGAAACATATTTTATTTTATTATTGTACTAGTTTTGCCCATTGGCTTTGCAAGAGTGGTATCGTGTTACCCCTTTAGATATGTTGAAATTTTCAAAAATCCTTTCATAGCATTGGGTATATTAAATGTTACAATATTAAATATAAACATGTATGTTAAAAACTTATTCATTTATTATCTAATGACAGACTTTCAATAGCAGAAACATGGGTATTAACAGATTATCATTACACTGAATACGTAATATCCTAAGTTAGGTAGGTATGTTGCATAGTTTAGGAATCTCGTGAAACCACTTAAATTTTTGCGTTTTATGTATATTTCATAATGTAATACACATCCGATAAAAGAAGATAATGAGCTAGCTCTACACTCGAGGGAAAGTAGTATTTAGGTATCATTAGATTCTGGCCTACCTTTTTCGATGTAGGTTACCTCGACTTTTAATTTTTAAGATTGGTTTAATCTTGGAGTTAGATCGAGTGTTTTTTTATTTATTTATTTCTATTTTTTTTATCAACATATATTAAACGCCTATAAAATAATCAGACTATGACTATAAAGTCGAGGTTTGCGTGTAAACTGAAACGCCTTATAAAAATTAATGAATGCAGAGTTCTTCGGAGATAGAATTCTATTTTATAAAGACCCCGCATGAAGATAGATACTAAGTATAAAATCACATATAGTACATTTAATCTAATACGTTTCTTTACCTAAAGATACCTAAATGCGTTGACAGCTGACAGGTTATAAATTACACTTAATATTATAAATTTTGTCATGAATGAAATAGACTTTAGATAGCATATAATATTTTTGTTATTATAATAATAACTTACCATATAATTTTACTCTGTTATCCTTAGTTTGCACCACTATAATAACGTATCCCTCCAAATCAACGGATTTGCATTTCACTGTTGTCATTTTATCTATCGCATTAATTTGGGTGGTGGGAGCGTTAAACGAATTCATTTTGTATAATATATGTTATAGATAAAAATTATTTTTTAATATCTATATCTACACAGGAGCAGCTACGAATAACTTATTGAGCGTTCTCCAGTCGAGGTGACATCGTCTGTCTCGAAGCCCGGCCAACGCTTCCTCCAGCACCATTTCAAGCAAAATTTACCCTTGAATATACTTTTATAACAATACATTTTGTAAAAAGATCTAAACATAATCATAAATTTAACCAGGTGATAGTAAATCGGCCATTATTATTTTAACTTCACTAAAACATCAAAGAAAACAGACACCCTGAAGACATCTGAAGGTTTACTATCACAATACTTCACTGTGTTTAAAAATTTCAAGAATTTATAACATTTTTATAGTATTGAAGATAAATTCTCTTGCGTTTTCACTATGACATGTCACATTTTATAGTGTTTGATGTTAGCGCGATGGTTTTGCACTGATTCTACAATAAAATAAATGATTTTGTGCAATTATTTGTTCGCGTACGCGTAGACGGGGACTTTCATGTGTTTTATTTGGGTTATTAAACTAATGTTTAAGGCGTATAAGCGTGTTTTGGAGATTGAAAAGCGGTCCCACGTCCGCGGGCTGGGTGTTCGCCGCGAATGGATACGACCATCCCATTTTCGCGCGATCAATAATGCTCCCTACTCAGCATCCCTTCAGACTCCCACAGACGATCCGTGCCATTCGAATTTGTCTTCGTCAAAATTAAATTAGTTTTATATTTTTATCGTAATGTAAGTTAATAAAAAATAAAGTAAAAAAAAATTAAATTATAATAAGACATGGTAAAAAAAAAGGAATGTTCAGGTCCCACCGAGATTTGAACTCGGATCGCTGGATTCAAAGTCCAGAGTGCTAACCATTACACCATGGGACCACTTGTGAAACATTACGAAATGATGATACAGATTGCAATTACTTTTATTTTTATCGATTTATTTATATATTAAAATAATAACTATATAATTAAATAAATAAACAAATGCTATTGAACTTTATTCTTAACATGACCCTAGTTTTTGAAATTTCACATTTCGTAAATTAGTAAGTTATTATTACAATACTTTAGATGGCGCTATACATTTGCTTTATAAAAAAGTACTATGCTATTAATTGTCCTTCGTACATGTAGCGTCATCTATGTATAACAATATGAACAACATATAATTTATTGCCAACGTTAATATTATTATTTTCCTAATTTCGACCTATTAGAATCTTTATGCATAGGACTTATTGAAGTAAGTACTTAATAATGCTTTACATTTTCTGTTTTGTTGAAAAGAAAAATATATTCTGAATTAATATTCGGTTAATAGTGATTACCTTGGATTAAGATGCTTTGTTCATGTGTATAAACAATCATTTTATGGTATGTATTTTATGGTTAATAATCCAAAGTAATTTGATAAAAATTTAAATATTTTTTAATTAAATCGTATTACTATAGGTAAATAAAATTAAAAGTAACTGCCTTATTCACTAAATGGTAGAAAATAAAAAAATATCAAATATTTAGTAGGCAACACTGAAATTCCCTGGATGACAGTTTGTCACTGACTTCGCTGTGGTATGGTTGTCATTTGATTCTCTATCGAAAAACGTGATAGATGAATGGAAAATAATTAACAATAACACAGCGTTAGTCCGTTTTAACTTAAACGAAAATTGTCGTCGGGCGTGTAATAATAAGAGTGAAATTCCACACAGTGTGCACTTCATAGGACACCGCCATGATCGATGTGGAAAACAAAGATGGCGGAATAATACGGTGATCACAACGCGTTGTTGTGTGGCGTTATGTACGGTGGTAGGTGGAGGTTGCAACAGTGTCGGGACCCTTGAACGAGGAGGAGAGGCGCGATGGGGGCGCGGCCGGGGTAATGCCGCCGCGGCCTGCGGCCGGCCGCGCGGCCATGGCGGCCGAAGAAGAACGAACGCCGTTCCCTCTATTTACTGCCGTCTACGATTATGCAGCACAGGGAGAAGACGAGCTCTCTCTCCGACGGGGTGAAATTGTTGAAGTCTTGTCTAAAGACTCGAATATATCAGGCGATGAGGGGTGGTGGACAGGTAAAATCGGAGATCGCGTCGGCATATTCCCCGCAGTATACGTGACGGAAGAGGATCCCCTAGCTGTAGAGCCTCCACGAGTGTCGTTCAGTGAGCTCAAACTCGAGGAAGTGATTGGTGTCGGTGGGTTTGGTAAAGTTTATCGTGGTTATTGGAACGATGAGGTCGTGGCGGTTAAAGCTGCACGACAGGACGCAAACGAGGACATCGAGGTCATTAAAGAGAGTGTATTGCAAGAAGCGAGACTCTTTTGGGTGTTGGAGCATGAGAATATAGTGTCATTGAAAGGTGTGTGTCTAGAGGAGCCAAACTTGTGTCTGGTGATGGAATATGCTCGTGGTGGGCCTTTAAATCGAGTTTTGTCAGGTAGAAAAATTCGACCTGACATCCTGGTGGACTGGGCGATACAAGTAGCTCAAGGAATGGAGTATCTTCACTGTGGAGCACCAATGTCACTCATACACCGAGATTTGAAGAGTTCAAATGGTATGTTACCTAATTTAATTGACTTTTTGTTGTAAATAAAATTATGGGTAATGGTGTAGCTTTATGAAATCATCTATTTTAGTTCTAATTATTTTAAGGTTTGATCGAAATGCTCTCTATGGGTTTAGTCTGATGAAGTTACAATTGGACTCTGGAATTTGGACACTAATAAAGTAATAAAAAAAGTGTAGCCACTGACCAACTTTTGAATTTTAATACTAATTATTTAAAAATATATAACAGTGGTTTTTCCTTTCAAAGAAAATATTATTTAAGAAAGTGTGTATACAGTATAGACGCATTCTTAAATTATATTTAAACGGGATATCTACAACTCAATTATATTATACTTAACTACATGGAATAAAATATAAACAATTTGTGAATATCAATCTGAATTCATTTAACGTTTGTCTACATTTTAATTTACAATCAAATTATATTTCAAAGTTAGAACTTGTTATACATTATAAATATACATCGAAGACACAACAATAGATTCCCATGAATTAATAAAAATATGAAACTCATACCAATAATGTTTTATGATTTACTTTAGCTTTGTTTGCATAATTAGTTTATATTACTATTATTATTACTAAAGATTAATCTTAATCGGTTCCTGAAAGAAAGGGATACTTTTTAACTAACAATAAACCATTGAATCTATCTAATAGATCCAAACACCTAAGTCTATGTAAAAATCTGTCTTGACAAACCTTACAAAAACATCCACTATAAGACTGACATAGTTACCCAAGAAAAAAGAGATTGTTAATAATGGGCTTCAAAAACTACAATGCTAGCATTTTAACCTACTAGGTTTTCCTCTATGCAGTTCTACCTAAAAACCATCATGGTTAATTATTCTTGAATTTGTCATGAGGAGCCAACTAATGAGCTTTATCTTCATTTATTATTCTTCAGGAATATCCCACCAGCATATACCAATAGTACTGATGTGAGCATTATTTCATTTTTATGTATTAAAAGATATAGTCATTCCAGTATATTGTGAAGCCATAATAAAAATTAAAACAAAAAATCCTTTCTAGTTATGATACAAATGTAAACAGAATGTAAATGTCCTGTGCTTGTGATTTACTACCACGATTTGTAAAGTGACCAGACTGTATATTCTAATTAACTTGAATCCATTGATTAAATTGGCAAATTAACTACTGCTTAAGCTCAACTTGCTGATGTTAGGCTGTTATCAGGTGGGCCTTATGCTTGTTTGCCATATATATGCCAAAGTTCTGAACTTTTCTGTAAAATATTACTCTTTTGAGCAACTTCAATAATGGTAGAAGTTCACACTACAAGAATACACAATTATTTTGCATTATATATTCATCAATTAGAAAATGATTTTGTTTTTTTTTTCCTAATTTAAAGATAATACATCCATTCCAAGATCATTATGTACCAAATTTTATTTTAAGTCTGTTGAACCATTACAGTATGATTGGGTAAAAAATGTTCAAATATCTAACAAACTTTCATATTTATAATATTAAAATTATAACTATTTTATTAGCAGGTCATTATCATTTAACCTATTGATATCTTTCATATCAAGAAAACAAGAAATTCTATGACTAATAGTGTGAGATTGTATCTATATACCTACCTATAATCCTATAATGTATCCTAAATTTAATTTGCATATCTTGCAAATATACTGTTCATGTTTCTAGGTGATTGTTATCGCATTTCAGTAGGTGGATCATCAGTTTCTTTGCCATTCTAAGTTGTATAAAAAAATATAATAAATTTCAAACTAGACAATGTCTGTATATAGAAGATATTTAAGAAAAATTGAGAGATCTTATTAAGAGCAATGGAAATCAAAACAAAAATTTTTAGAATTGTGTCTTGTGTGCTGTATCAAATTGGATATGGTTTGCACAATTTTTCCTGAAGTTTTAATTTAAAATTTCATATGTTTTAATACAACATCTAGAAATTATCTATTTACTTGGTTAAAAATCCACATGTAGGAAATAACTTCAATTAAATTTCAAAGGTCGTCTCTAAAAAGGTGACAAATACTATTTTCTATGTGTTGTGACATTATGTACAATCTAATTTAATGTTAAATTCAAAAGTTACATTTTGTTTTTTCTATGATTTTAGTTACCAATTGCATCAACCACCCGTTACCCGTTAATGGAAGAGATTGCAATTATATGGTCAACCTCTATGTCAGCCCATTTTGTCTCTGAAAATCAACATTCTCAGTGCAAATTTAATTTACTTGGTCTGATAATCTGATGATCAATATATATTAGATATGATGAACTAGTATATATATATGACATAAAATTTTGTTACTTTAGATATTATATCTTAATCACATTCAAATTTATCTTTTATTTTAATCTTGCTCTGAAAAGTTGACAAGAGATAATCAGTAGTCTGATTCATGTTATGAAAATCGCAATGGGCACATAACGACTTGTGTGGTGGTGACTCTGTCAATTCATGTTCTCATCCTTGAGTGATCTGACCACTTTTATAGTATATATATTATTCTTATAGTATATATGTTGAATTGTTTATTATACAAAAAACAAAGTTGTTAAGGTGACAATTGACAACAATATTTGTAATTGTTTTAATTATTGTCCCGCCAGCGTATACCGCTAGCGCAGGCAGCGTTCCCATTCTATTATAATTCATTAAAAACCTTGGAATTTAGTGTACTAGTTCAATTCAGTGATCGAAATTAGACCATAGGCGATCACTATGTCAAGACTACCATCCATTCTGCACGTAAATATCTTAATTTTGTACAATATAATTAGTATGTTTTTTAATCACTTAAGGATAGCAAACAAGCTGACGGTCCACCTGATGGAAATCACTCTTCATTAGGTGGAGCGTCACCAATGGATATGAACAGCACAATGGAATTCACAAACTACACGGGAACATGCGGGACCCATCACTAAAAATAGGAAAAATATACTAAAATGTAACGTACTATACACATTCAACAACATCTTTGACGGAACAGAATTCCAATTATTATACAAATAAAATTGAATACAAATATTTAAAATAGTCGATTTTTTAAAGATTTTGCCGCTAAGATTTTGATATCTCACTCAAACGATTCTTTATATATATAAAAAAAAAAAACTGGCGATATCTTATTTGTTATCAGCACCATACTAAAACTCGCAGAAAACACATTTTTATCTGTACTATCAATAGACGGAAATGCTTGATAATTAAAATCTAAACGTCAAGGCCATATATTATTTGTTATGAATTATACCATGTTGTCTGAAATCTGTACATTCTTTGTACTGATAAACCGGATCTGTGTACGCATTCTCGTATGATAACATTCTTGAACTGATTGTGAAATACCTCTCATGGCATATTTTAAAAGAGACCATAATTTGCGATCTTGAAATTGCACCATCATAGAAATCATAGTTTTATTGTAAACAAGTTTTCTTATTAGCGAATCGCCTTGGTTTCACACGATATGTATCTATTTATATGTTATAGAATTTTTACAAATCATATTACTAATTTAGATATGCACACGACTATAAAATATACGTATTTATATTAAGCTCTACTTATCCACTTTACAAGTTATATCCGATATGTTCTTGGTCGGTATTTCCCATCATGTTGTCTCCGTTTGCGAAATTATATGTGTTACTTAACAGTCAATCCATCTCATAATTATGTTATTTTGTTCATTTGATTGGAAGTGTTAGATATCAATATGTGGGCGAGTACCAACAAAAACCAACGTGGGTAGAACAATGCGTATTGCATAAGGGCTATCTTCAGTTTTTGCATGGACAATTTGAATTCATTAAAATTACATTTCGTTACCATAGTAACACATGACGCGCCTGACAACCGTAATCTTTTATAGCGCCAGGAATACAATAAAATAATAAAAATCGTTTACACATTCTAGAAGTTCTCTTTTCGAACGAGAATTTTAGCTGTGTAACTACTGAGAGACGTCTGCTGCATTAGTATATTTTAGATTTTTATTTTTAATGACATTGAATTAAACAATTTATACAATGAAATCATAGGGTGCAAGTCTAACGAGAAGAAGCGTACGATACTTGTGTAGAATTGCTCTTGGGAAGAACTTTAATAGAAATCTCTTTTCAGAAGCAGAGTGTTCGCAAAAGGAAACTATTTTGCAATCATACTAGACACGACGCTGTACACTGGTTTATATTTCAAGGTCTAAAGATAAATACCTTCTCTATGGCAAAAGATACAATAGAATGTGACGATAACGTGAATGTGAAATTTAGCTTATAATTAAGAAGCTTCCTTCTTTGTCCAATAATAGTTAATGGAACGAATATTTTAAGAGATATGGAGGACAAAAGCAATAGATAACAATATACATAAAGATAACATAATAATAGATAAATATATACTGCTAAAATTTAAGCTTAAGCTGATAAAATTTCGTCCTTTTGCCTTTATCAGGTAAAATCATACCATTTGTCTTAAACACCGTCGGCAAAATATCATTTTAATTTTGAAAGATACAAAAATATTCTTTAACATTATATAAACCATTTAAATTATTAAGAAACGCTCTATTTATAATTTGCTTTTTACCATGGTTTTGGTTGCTATGTATAATCTGTTAGCGCAGCTTGATCATAATTCACAGTGTCATAGAATGTATTTCACTTGTGTACTCATATATATGAGTAAACGAGACTATGATATATAGGTGACATCGTCAAACTTCGAGGCACACACCACTGTTAACTTTACAGTAAGGTATGACCGATATTATATCTGACTGTCAAGTTAAACCTTAAGAACAAAGAAAATTATTAAGTGGTTTTATTTAGTTTATACATGCACTAAAAAGTAAATGCAACCAGTAGAGGGAGCCTTTGTACAAAACTAGTTGGTGAGCTACGGCAATGATATTAAAGGTACAAAATTACGAAGACAATTGTCAGGAACGGAACGCATAAGCGTAT